TATATATAAACAAAAACCGGGGAGTCGTATGACCTTGAACCTGACACTGCTTTCTCCCAGGCAATAAATTTTACAACCCCACTGTAATTAGACGTCCTTCCCTACTTAAAAGTATTTACATCTGTGTGTTAAAGTATTTCACACTTTGTTTCCACTGCAAATGATGTTTTTTTTCTGTAAATATATATTAAAACGCACTTATATACTTTAATTTTTTTTTAATAATATTATTTACTTTATATGCGATAAAAGAGGATAATTAAACTAATTTTCGATATTTTAAATTATTTACTATTAAAATAAACCACTATCAGATATAAAATATAGTTTTATTTTTAAAAAAACTACGACCGCCGACCTTGTACTGCGTCACGACGCCACACGACGAGCCAGCGGTCGTAGCTAGAACCAGTTTGCCATACGACCGCCGGCGTTTGAAGCCAACTGAATAGATATCCACCAGAGGCCAGCACTAAGCATGCAGAAAACGTCGTACGAGGCCAGGAAAATTTACCTTGAGTAAAACTACATTGTTATGTCTACCGGCAATGGTATGGCGCTGTACGGGAATTTTCATAACGACGGTGCGCGCGTCGTATGGCGTTAAACGTGTTAAATAAATATAGTTGTTGATTGCCTATGAATCTTTCAATGGTCCTGCCTCGATGGTTAATGTCTGGACTGCCCCACATAGGATTGTGGCCATTAAAATCACCAAGTAAAAGAAATGGTGTTGGCAGCTGTTCAACCAAGACATCCAGTTCATTCTCATTGACTCTGACATCTAATGGCAAGTATATAGAACAAACTGTGACAGTTACGCCAATTGAAATTTTGACTGCCACAGCTTGCAGCTCTGTTGTTATTTGTACCAGTAAGGATGGAATGCGATTTGAAACTAGTATAGCCACACCTCCACTGGCGCTATTGTGGCTATCATCATCCTTGCGGTAGAGATCGAATCCTTTTAAAGTAATTCTCTCTCCAGGTTTCAGATGAGTCTCCTGGAGTGCCACACAGAGAAACGAGATAGATGATGTCAAGTGTTTAATGTCAGAAAAGTTGTTGCAGAAACCACAACAATTCCATTCGATTATTTTATAATCCATTATGTGTTTGAGGCAGCATTTTTAACAAGGTTATCTCTCTTTAATTTCACAGCTGATTTGCCTTTTGGAGGTGAAGTTGGTGGTGTCACCCCGTTATTCTTCTCTTCATCAGAGAAGTCAGAGAACTCACTCATAGACTGAGCCTCTGAATTTTTAGGTTTAGAGAGAGCTGCTTTCACTCTCTGTTTGTTTAGTGGGTTCTTACTAGCTTTTTTAGAACACACATTCCTGGTTGTTACTCCTGTTTTCGGTAGAGATGTTTTGCTTTTCTTGTTCTCCTTTTCTGCTGTTTGGGTAGATTGTATCAACAAACATTTTGCATGGCGTGTTAGCGATTCATTTGGTGAAACAGAAATGTCTGTCTGAACTCCACATGTCTTTGTGGATTTCAAAACAGCAGCAAATGTCTTCTGTCTCATTTGTGCACTTAAAGTGACCATGCGATGTGCCTCTGGGTAAGGTATATTATTTATAGTCTTCACCCGCTGTATCTCTTTTTCTCTTTGCCATGTAGGACATTTTCGGGAGTAGGCAGGGTGAGCTTCTTTGCAGTTGACGCAGCATGGAGTATTTGTACATTCAGTACTCTCATGATCTTCTTTTCCACACTGGGCGCATGCACTTTTCCCACGGCAGGATGTTTGTGAGTGTCCAAACCGCTGGCATTTATAGCAACGCGGCGGATTTGGAATGTATGGGCGAACTTGACAACGGAGATATCCTGCTGCAACAGAAGATGGCAATGTTGGCTTGTTGAACGTGATTATAAGATGTTTTGTAGGTATCAACTTGCCATCGCGCCTGATAGAGATGCGTCTGACTGCAGTGACACCTTGGTCTGAAAAATCCATCTGGATATCTGATTCACTTTCAGACATCAAATCTGCTTCAGATATCACACCACGTGATGAGTTTAAACTCATGTGTGGTGTGATAGTGACTTCTATATCTCCCAAGGTCTTTGTTGACAAAAGTTTTGCCGATTGTTGGGGTGAGGTTGTTTGTAAAAGCAGGTCTCCTGACCTCAACTTTTGAATTTTTTTCAAATTTCCGATGGTGGACTGGAACAATTTTTGTATTAGGAAAGGGGAACGTTCAGACAGAGGTGTTTCATTGATAGCATAAGCTATAAAGTAAGTTGGCTGGTTGGATAAACTTTCATCCTTTAATGGTATTATATCTGTACATTGATGTTTGGTGGTTTTTGAATCCATATTGTAAATTTCAATATTCAGTTCCTAGTGACCCCACCCACCACGGGGCCTACAAGAAGATGCCATCACATGGGAGATTCCCATAGACCGTCACACCAGGGTTTCCCAGGAGCTATACCCTCACAATGCAGTCAAGAAAAGCACATCTTGTATGACATGTCTGCCCGGTCTGCATCGATCAGTTGACTCCAAGCCGAAGTCACGAATGACTCAACGACCAGCCGATTGACTCAAACGAAGCCTGATTTCAGCCTCCCGTTTATCCAAAGCAGGGGCCAAAGCAGTGTGTTGGAAATGTTATGTTGCCCCTCAACTACCAGGATCCCCCTTTCCGGCATACGGGACACCACGCACGGCAAACACGTGGGTGGGCGTTCAGATCCCAGGAATGGTAAAAAGGAGTTTCTAAACCATCTCTGGGAAGTCCCCTCACCACGGACAGGAACCCACATCGAGGGGCAAGCTGGGTCCACACTGCAGTGTGCCGCAGGCAGAAATCCTGGCCATTCCCAAGGCGATGTATAATATCTATTCTGAATGGTTCCCTCGCAACAAAACTATCACCATTTACACTGATAGTACAACAGCCCTCCATTCCATCTTCAGTCCCCATAATAAAGGTGACAATATCCTGCAAATCCATCATTATCTTAGCACCCATAGCCACAAGCATGTGATTTCTTTTAGGTGAATACGCGGACACACTGGTGTACCTGGAAATGAGGCAGCTGATCAGTTGGTCAAACAGGCCGCTGCTTCCAGCCTTACTCCTTGCTACAACAAAATTCCTGCTTCGAAAATCAGGCAATGGACTTGGGAATTCGCTCTTGGTCAATGGCAAGAAGAATCGGATAACAGATCTACAGGCAGATTAACGCACACCTTTATCCCAAGCATTAACGAAAGACTTAAATGGAAACACTTCAAACCAACATTCTCCATGACCTAGTTAATTACTGGACATGGTAATTTCAATAGCTATTTAAAAAGATTTCATCTTAAAAACACGGACATCTGTCCCTGCAACAGTACTTCAATCCAAGACAGCCAGAATTAACACACTAAAAATAAAAAATTTTTAGTTAAAAACAAGTAAAAATTATACTCTTTCTATTTCCGACTTCGAGGATTCAATGAGCCAAACCAAGACAAACAAGTAGAAAGGAACAATCATCATTTTATTAATTTTATCCATATGCATTTCGCCATGTAGGCCTCCTCAGTGGATACATCAAGATGTTATTCGTTGGTTACGTTTTATACCCAACAGCCGTTCCCAGCATGCATATAGATGCTGGCAATCTAAATGTTGCTGGTACATATTGCTCTCTTAAAAAGCACTTAAAATAATTTTTATCCATTGCCAATCCGTCCATTTGACACTTCATATCCTCTATCCCCATCTTTAAATTTAAAAATATATAAATATAAATTCAATTATTAAAACCAATGGGATCGGTGGTAATATTAACACACTAAAAATAAAAAATTTNAAAATAATTTTTATCCATTGCCAATCCGTCCATTTGACACTTCATATCCTCTATCCCCATCTTTAAATTTAAAAATATATAAATATAAATTCAATTATCTGCCAGCATTATCTGTGGGACTGTGAACTTTTTAAACAGGAGAGAGACAGACTCATGGGGCATGTGCTCCATGCTGGAAACAACTGGCCATGCCCTAACAGCAGACTCATGGAAGACCCGAATGTTTATCGACATCTCATCAAGTTTCTAAAAACAACAGCAGCACTCAACCCACCATGCCGTCAGCAGTCTGATAGTAATGATTGACCAACTGGCTGTCTTTTCTCACGACAATTGTTCCAGGCTTCCAACCAGCTCCTCTTGTTTTGCATGCTTCTTGTACGTGGTTTCTCACTGTACATATCATGTAATTTATTATGTATTTTTGTAAGTTGTAGCTCTTATGTATGTATAAATTTTGTTTTTACTTGCCGCTGTCTGGCGCACATCAATGATCAATGTATTTTGGTCAATTCTTTTCTGTATTATGTTTTGTTATGCCTTTATGCCTTCAATAATTGTGTTGCAGGTGCCATGTACTCTCACCTGTCTCCCCCACTTTGTGCCCCATTCATCCCCTATCCTTCATCTCCCTCACTCCTATTTCACCAACTTTTCTCCTCCAACCTCCAGGTTGTACTGTAAATATGAGTGGAACCTGGAGGCACCCCCCTCTTTCAATTAAAATAATAAATAAGTCATAAATTGTAACATTTCAAAACCCCGGTATTGAAAAAATTTGTACTTGCAGTACAATACACATTTTCATTTTTATTACAAGTGCTCCATCTGAAAATTGATAATTACATGAAGGTGTTTGGAAGTTCTTTTTAAATGTTTTTGTACAAAAATAACTTTACAGAAATATCAATAACATATCACTGTTTATGATTGTTGACTATAACATATATATGTTTACAAATATTTATAAAATTCAAGATTTGAAAAAATCAAAAACTTTTTGTATAATCATTCAATCTATCTGTTATATGTTACATAGACAGGTGTATTTTTTCAAAATAACAAAAACTAAAGCTTTCTAAACCGATGTAGAGATATAATATAACCTATAGCAGGGGTGTCCAACCTTTTTGTTCCTCTAAGCCACATTAAAAGTCATTAAGTTTTGAATTGGTTGGTTGGTTAGTTTTTATTGGCACAAAAGCCATGCAGGCTATACTGCACCACGACACATGGTATGATTGGGCGTATAAGATAAATAGGAAAACACATATATACACATAAACGATACATAACAGTTTAACCATTAAAGACAACACTAATATATATATAAAATATAAATAAATATATAAATAAACAACAACAAAAAAAACATATACAATAATTTAAATATGCAACACAAAGTAAATAAAACTATACAATAAATAAATCATGATATTTCTCTATACATATTAATGACTTTCAGGAAGTCCAGTATATTATCCAGATTTAACCTATCGCCCAAAATGTCTCTAAAGCTTGCATTTCCGAAATGCTGTCTACGAATCTGATCAAAAGCAACACATTTGCAAAATGTGTGTTTAACACTTACAGCACAGTTGCAGTACTGACATACTGGTTCGTCATCTCCCTTCAAAAGTATTGATGAGTCAGTTGAGTGTGTCCAATTCTCAAACGAGTAAGGACAACCTCAGATCTCCTATCATACTGCCTATTATGTGTCCAATTTTCTGCTAAAGGTTTGATCTCATATAGTTTATTGTGGATTTGTGCGTTCCACATAATTTGCCATCTCTCTGCTAGTCGTTTTTTAATGACTAGCTTCAAATCACCTCCTTCAATACGCATTGTATGCTGTTGAGGACTTGCTAACTTTGCAGCTGTGTCAGCTTCTTTGTTTCCTCTTATACCTACATAACCTGGGACCCGAACAAAATTTTACAAAAAAACTCCTTGCAAGAAGATGGCAAAACAGTTAACGAATTTTAGTCACTATAGAGTAAAAACTAGGTTCACTCTAGAGTTTAAACATTCAACTCTAGATTTTAAATATCTACTCTTCAAATTGCGCAAGTGCAACAAAAACGTCAGTTTATGGTCGAACAAAACACCCCAAAATTTTGCCTCATTCACCATTGTGATTTTGACCCCATTTAGGTAAATTTCAAGATCCAAGTGCAAACCACGCCTTCAGCAAAAGTGGATGCACAAGGTCTTCTCCGTGTTAAAACTATAACCATTGGTCTTGAACCAATAGTCTATGCGATTTAGGGAGGTTTGCAGTTGTCTCTTAATAAAACTCATGTTGCTACACTGGCAAAAGATCTGAAAGTCATCCACATACAGTGTTTCACACTAAAGGAAAGACATTTAGCTATGCTATTAATTTTAATTAGGAACAGAGTCACACTCAAAATAGAGCCTTGAGGAACACCTTCTTGTTGCGTGAAAGGCCTAAATAAAGTGTTGCCAATCCTAACTTGGAATCTTCGATTCTCTAAGAAGTTTTTTATAAAAATCAGCAAATTACCCCGCAATCCAAATTGGTCCAAATCACAAAGTATCCCGTATCGCCAACAGCGCTCATAGGCCTTCTCTATATCAAAAAACACAAACACTAAGTGCTGTCATCTAACAAACGCTTCACTTATACATGTTTCAAGGTTTACTACGTTATCAGTGGTACTTCTGTTCCTACAAAAACCACTCTGATGTGGTGAAAAGTATTCATTTTTCTCAAGAGATACATCAGACATCTGTTTACAATCCTCTCAAAGAGTTTACACAGGCAACTTGTCAGAGAAATTAGTCTGTAATTAAAGAGATTCTTGTAGTCTTTACCAGGCTTGGAAACGGCAAAAATGATAGATAGCCTCCAAGAGTCAGGAAAAGTATGTTCTGTCCATATTCTGTTAAACAGACACAGGAGTTTAAAAAGGAAATTGTTTGACAGATTTTTAATCATGCTGTAGTAAATTTTATCCAAGCCTAAAGCACTATTCCCCGAGCGAGAGATTGCTGTATGTAGTTCTATGCTAATAAATGGCACATTATATTCCTAATTATATGAGAAGTGAAAGATTAAATATTGTTTTTAACTTCGGGCTTTATAAGCCTGAAAATTTCTTGAATACATAATATTGCTGAATGAAAAAGAAAACGTTTCACCCAACGTATCAGCAATACCCTGTATATCGCTAATTATTGTGCCATTATTTTCCAGCATAAAGAAAGTGAAAACCATATTTCCCATTAATTTTATGGATTTTATCCAAGACTGCTTTTGAGGTAGTGGAAGATGTTATGCTAGAAACCTACTTCCTCCAAGAATCCCTTTGGCTTTGCCTTCTTATTTTTCTGGCATTTGCCTTTGCTTTTTGAAAAGCTATCAAATTTCTAGCAGTGGAATATCTTCTAAAAATTCCCCATGCTTTCTTTTGTGCTTTAAATGCTGCCTCGCAATTCTGATTCCACCATGGTTTTGGATGCTTTAGGTATCTTGTTAATGTCTTTTCCATTGTTTTCTCATCTGCCTGAATAATACACAAAGTGACAACTTCAACTGTATCATTGATATCAGCAGTATTGACCATTTCCTCAGTGATGTTAGCCAAAGAAGAAAATGCTGGCCAATCTCCCGTTTCCAGCGTGGTGGACGGGCTGTTTCACAGCTTTCTCTGCCTCGATATTTTAAAATTATTGGGAAGTGGTCACTAGAGAGTGGATTAGATCCAACCTCCCATGTAAATGCTGAAAACAGATTGGGAGTTGCTAATGATAGATCAATGGCAGTGAACGTTCTTGCAGGGCATAGAAGTATGTCACTTCTCCAGTAATAAGTAAATACAGTTGATGATTACCTATAAATCTCTCAATGGCTCTGCCTCGACGATTGATGTCCGGACTGCCTCACATAGGATTGTGGCCATTAAAATCACCAAGTAAAAGGAATGGTGTTGGCAGCTGTTCAAACCAAAACATCCAGTTCATTCTCATTGACAATGACATCTGGTGGCAAGTATATAGAACAAACTGTGACAGTTACGCCAATTGAAATTTTGACTGCCACAGCTTGCAGCTCTGTTGTTATTTGTACCGGTAAAAATAGAATGCAATTTGAAACCAGAATAGCCACACCGCCACTGGCACAGTTGTGGCTATCATCATTCTTGCAGTAGTCCAAATCCTTTTAAAGTAATTCCCTCTCCAGGTTTCAGATGTGTCTCCTGGAGTGCCACGCAGAGAGATGAGGTATATGATGTCAAGTGTTTAATGTCAGAGAAGTTGTTGCAGAAACCACGACAGTTCCATTGGATTATTTTATGATCCATTATGTGTTTGAGGCAGAATTCTTAGAAAAAGTGTCCTCCTTCAATTTTACTGAGGATTTTCCTTTTGAAAGTAAGGTTGGTTTTGTCACCTCCATATTATTCTCTTCGTCAGAGATATCAGAGAACTCACTCATGGATTTAGTCTCTGATCTCTTTGATTTAGAGAGGGCTGCTTTCAATTTTTGTTTGTTGAGTGGGTTCTTATTAGCCTTTTTAGAATCCACATTTCTAATAATTACTCCTGTTTTGGGTACCAGTGATTTTGTGTTTATGTTCTCCTTTACTTCTTTCTCTCTAGATTAAATTAGTAAGCATTTAGCATGGTGTGTGAGAGATTCATTTGGTGAAACAGAAATGTCTGTCTGAACTCCACGTCTTTGTGGATTTCAAAACTGCAGCAAATGTCTTCTGTTTCACTGGTGCATTTGGAGTGACCATGTGACGTGCTTCCTGGTAAGGTATATTTTTCACTGTCTTCACCCGCTGAATTTCTTTTTCTCTCTGCCATGCAGTGCATTTTCAGGAGTAGTCAGAAT